GGGGGGGGGGGGGGGGGGGGAGAGACAGGGAGGGAGAATGTGCGTGTGTGGGAGTAGAAAGACGTTTCTTAGGGACTAGGGAATTGGCGTTTAATATGGGGAAAGAGGAAGGTGGGTGAGGACTGAGGAGGCTGTTAGTCTGATGCTAGTCTTACCTTCATTGAAGGCGCGTGAATTATAGACGAATTGCAAGAAAAAAAATCTTTGGATTTTTTGGTCCTCAACCTGTGCATATTTAATATTATCAATAATTTTGGGAAAAATAAAAAGAAGATTCAAAAAATATCCTCACCTAGTTTTATAATTTTCTATATGAATATAATTTGGTGATCTATTTTCATGTGTTTCAATTCAATACAATTATTACATTAATGTGTGAGTTTAAATGTTGGAAATACTCATTTTTAATCAAACTATTATAATTAATCAGGTCTCAGATCAAGTTTCCAAATTAAATACGAATAACATTTTTATTTCTTTTCTTTTTTTGTTATTATAAACAAGGGTGTTCGAGCTAATTTATGCATACCTCAATTAATCTCCTATCCAGTCTTATCCAAGACAAGTCATTCACATGCGGGACTATAATATTCACGAGGGATAAATCTTTCATGGGTTGACCTCAAAAAATTGTCAATATTCAAACTCAAGACATATCTGAATTTACAATTCTGTTATTACTTGAACTACCCTTGAAATTATTGTCATAATATTTTTCAATTTGAATACGGAAGGAAGAAAATCTATGCATCACCTAGACTTATCTCTAGTAAATTTATGATGAAAACTCAATTCAATAAGAAAAAACTTATCGATTTTAATGTGAATCATCTACATAAATCTTTTGATAATGTTTTTTGATAATTCTTATTTTTTATTATGTTTTTGTAGAGATCTTGATTTTTTATACCCAACTAAATTGAAAACATAAACTATAGAAGTTATATACATGAGATAGTTCAAAACCGTGAGCATTCTAATTAAAAAAATGTGTCAAATTTGAATTTCTATTCCACTCACTTTTTTATAAAAATTTAACCTTTCATTAAGTTATAGTTTATCTCTCAACATGCACACAATTCATTAAAGTTTCAGTTTATTTTATTTTTTGTTCAACGATCAAGAATGTTTAAGTTAATTAACGTATATTTTGATTAATCTTCTTCACAATCCGTTTAAAAATAAGTCATTTATGTTATAACTAAAATATATATGACGCATAAATCTTTCATGATTTAATTTAAAAAAAATTATTAAAATTTAAATTCAAAATGTCTAAATTTACAAGTCATTCTTGTTACCCACTTAAATTACTCTGTCGGTATTATAGTCCGTTTGGTAGGAGGGATGAAATGTTGGAAGAATGGAAAAATATGAGGGATAGATTTTTCATCCTTAAATGAAGAAAAAATGTTTTTCATATTTTGTGTTTGGTAAGAAGGATGAAAAAGTAGATGGAATAATTTTTTTATTTTTTTTATTTGATAGGAAAAAAAATAATAGAATATTATTACTTGTGAAATATTAAAAATACCCTTAATAGAATATGAATAATTTATTGAGAGAGATGAGTTCTTTGGAGTAAATATCAATTAAGCATTAGATAAAAATTATGGGAGCCATCATAACCAACTTGTCTGACACTTTTCGCCAAAAAATGGAGGGATATAAAATGATGGGCTGGATAAATTTTTTTTCCCTCCATCTTTTCTTTCTAGCCAAACAAAGAAAAATTATATTTTCCATCCTATTTTTCATTCACTATTTTTCATCCATCCTGTTGTTCCCCGTACCAAACAGGCCATAAAGTTTCATTTGTAATTTGCATTCGAAGGAAAGAAAATTAAAAGAAATTGAGAAACCGAAAAAGTAAACAAAGTCACTAAAAAACAAAAAAGAAACTGTATGTGTCAGGTGTGAGCCACGTGTGTGTTTGTTACTGGCCAATGTCAGAACCTTTTTGCTGATGCTTAGTGACCAAGAAACGTTAGTGCTGTATAATTGGCCACCGCCACCCCTATCGCGCGTGAGGTTGTATTGGGCCACGAGGGTAGAGTCGGAATTTTAATTTCCTTTCTTAAGTCCTTGCGGCGAATTGAAACCGAGGGGTTTAATTGGAAATGTTGCACCAAATTAAAGTGACTCATTAGATTAATGCGATACATTAATTCTGTACATCTAACTTTTCTCGGAGTTTACGAACGGACGGATCTGTCGTTCAATAATAATTTTTATTTTATGAAGGCTAAATTTTTGTGAAATCAAATGTTTAAATTTCTTGGACAATAAAAAAGTGTGATTGATTAACGGGATGAATTTTAGTTAAATAGATGAATTAGATCAAAGTCTCTGATATAAATTTAAATTTTTATCGACTCACAAGTTTTGATTTAACTGATGTATAAATTGAAAGACCGATTCATTTATGTAGAATTTGCTTTTAATTCTACTTAGACTCACGAGTCTGAGTGATTAAATCGTCTCTATCTCGTCGATGACAAGCCAAGGATTTTCTCTGTCATCCAAAAAATAAATATTTCTCAGGTTTAATTGTGCTACAAAAAAATGAATCTAAGATCTCGTTGAAACATTTTTATTCTATTTTTTTACTTATTAAATCACCCACCTTATGCTATTGAAGAACTCGTTTATATATTTTACGAGTGTAATTTAATTATATATAAATTAATTTATTTTAAAATATCGTAAAAAATTATACTAAGGGAGATCAAGCAAAGAGTCACATTTTAGTACTGCACCTAATTCTTTCATCAAATGAAAACATGTGTAAAACTTTATTATTTTTGATGATACATAAATTGGGTTTGCACATCATCTGTCAAGTGACTGATAATTAATGCAATAGTAAAATAGAGAGAGATAAAAACACAGACAAGACAAGGATTTATAGTGGTTCGGTCAACGTGACCTACGTCCACTTTGAATGATTTGAGTCGCGAGAGAGTTTTATTACTTTACGTGTGTGTAGGGAGAGCAGGGAGTGACAAATTATGAGAGGGAGATGAGAGTTATACTCAACTGAGTGTGATGCTTGTCATAGATGCCCCCCATATGCAGGCGGGGTTTACAATTTGTAGTCACCTCTTATAAGTAACTAAAACACTAATTTGATAGAGTGGCGTTATTTTCTCAACAGATGAGTCAGTTACAGTATTTCTCACAAGATTCGATCAAAAGATGACGTGGTGGTTGGTGGTTGACTTATCCTCAGGTGGTTAAAATGAGACTCTTAGATGACATTTACTCAAAAGTGGGTAGGATGAGACTTTTGAATGACCTTTTTTACTCCCTTAGCAAGCTTAATTAGACGTGGACCCCTTTGACTGGATACTGAATTTTTTTAAGTTGGACTCTTAATTTAAACCAGGCTTTCAACATGAGTTGAGTCATTGCCCCTAATCCATCAATTTTTATAATCAATAAATATAAGTAAATCAACATAACTAAGATCCAGTGCCACATTATTATTTTATATTATAACCTTATCTTATAATAAAATTATAAAATTCGTGAATAACTAAGTTTATAGTGGGACATTATAAAAAGTACATTTGGCACATGCAATGCATGAGCAATTAACCACTAATATAGGCCTGGTTGGAAGTTGAGTCTAAAGTGTAAAGTGGATTGTGTATAAATGTGCTAAAGGACTTATTATTTTAATTTAATTTGTTGATCTAATTTACAGTATGACCGTTAAATTAATAATTAAACCTAATGTTAGATAAGATCCATTACAATCCAACAATTATAATAAATTAAATCAATAAATAAATTCTAAATAAAATGATTCTTAAACTATTCAATACTATATAGTATTTGATATATAATTGAAACATATTAGGTTGGTCACTAAACTCAACAATTCACTTTGACGTTCCTTTGATTAAATGAATTCTTAAAAAATAAACATTAATTATTTTTAGCACCTAACGATTTCTTAAAAATTAATAAACAAGGTATTATTTTATAACTAGGTCATAAGTTTGAATAATTTTGTTTGGAGATAAGCTTTAGAATAACAATAAGGTTACTTCTTTGTAATAATGTATAGGAACTATGAATCCAAAAGATAAAGTGAACGGTAGGGTAAGGTGTGGATTAACTCACTTTCTTAAAACGATTCTCGTACTTTTATGGAAGAAACACAATGTAGAAGGTAACATCGCGTTGTCCCCATAATACAACAATCTAACCTAATTGATTGTTACTTCACTCAGATCTGCCCAATCGAATGAAACAGAAACTTCACGCGACACTTTTATATATTACCCATAAACTAATGGGAGAGGAAAGAATATAGTAGATATATAGAAATATATCTATCTATTCTGAAATATATAAATATATATATTGTAAAAATATGACTGTTGATTTTCTGTAATTGTTTTAGTATTTAATCAGATAATAATTGTTAGAATTAAATACAAATATACCTGTTGAAAAATTAGTGGATAGATCATTGGAATTCAGAAACTGAATTTTTAATAAAGAAGTTTATTACAAAAAATAATAACATAAAAT